ATATATATATATATATATATATATCAGAATTAAATTTGGTTTTTTCTGTTACTGAATATATTTTTGGGTAAGTTGTACTTTTTTAACATGTAGACACTGTTTTACATATTGCGTTTAGCTAAATTGGTGCAGACAGATACTAGCAAGTTTATCTAGCGTACAAGATTGATTGCTGTACGTCAGATGAGAACCTGGTTCACTGCTAGGTTTGACCCCATATATCTAATTTACCAATTCGATGATGTAGTAAATAAGCTGGGAGATAAATTTACTGTTGGTGAGGTTTCGATTTCACTTTAGTCACTAGGCCTGGTTGTCATGACAATGACTGGTACATAACTGAATATTCATCACTAGAATAACACAGAAAGTTATCGAATTTATTCAAGCAAGTCTGAATTATAAAAAGAGAGTGAATGATTGATCATTTTTCACACCATCTGTGACAGCTTTAACTGTCAAACTGAACTTATTGTACGTAGAAGGTGAATGGAGTTGAGAAGCGGTTTTCAATTTCGATAGGATCCAATTTAAAAACCTTCCGATCATGTACCCACTGCCTTGTTAACTTGCCCAAATAGTCTTTACGGTAATTCTTATGACAGACTGACGTTATTTAGAGAATCGTTAAGATTCTAGTAGTAATGAACAACTGAACCATGCTGGTTTGAGACTCCTCAGTGATGAGCACTCAGGACTCTGTTATGGACCGAGCACTGGAAGCGGTAACCCAGATGTGCATAATTCACATAAGTAAACTTATTATTATAATATTATTATTTGTCCCTTGGGTTCCTAGTGGAACATAGAGCTTCAGAGCACTTCTCTATTGCACTCTCTTCTCTCCAGTCTTTTCAACCTGGCTCCACCAATGCCCACAAGCTCCCATTCCTTCCTCGCACCATCTCCTCCATGTCACCCTCGCCACAGACGCCCAACTCGTTGCTTCACATCTAAATCCCACTCGACGGCCTGGCCTGGCCTGACCTGAGGCGTGATGTCCCCAATAGGTCTTCTCAGAGTATGCCCAATCCAATCCACCTCCACTTCCTTCTGCACATTTGTTGAGCGATGAGATCATAATTAGTCTGTTGTCGACCAAACATAGTTCCTTCTTCTTTATACTTATTATTCTGGCAATCTGATTTGATCTTCAGTGGCAGTATCGAGTGAGCGTAGGCGACAGCTGTTGATGACTGTCTGCAGTTTTTTGGAAATTCTTTTCGTGAGGTGCCAAGTCTCTCAACCATCACATAAAAGCACTGAGTTACTTGACTGACATTACTGTTGAAAATCTGGATCTCGTTCACACTTTATACTGAGTGTACTGCAGTACAGTACAGTGCAGTGCAGTGCAGTGCAGTGCAGTACAGTACAGTACAGTACAGTACAGTACAGTACAGTACAGTACAGTACAGTACAGTACAGTACAGTACAGTACAGTACAGTACAGTACAGTACAGTACAGTACAGTACAGTACAGTACAGTACAGTACAGTACAGTACAGTACAGTACAGTACAGTACAGTACAGTACAGTACAGTACAGTACAGTACAGTACAGTACAGTACAGTACAGTACAGTACAGTACAGTACAGTACAGTACAGTACAGTACAGTACAGTACAGTACAGTACAGTACAGTACAGTACATCTCCACACTAATCTCAGATTAATGCAGGAAGGCCTGTCCTGCTGTCTTTCCAATCCTGACTGGCTTTGACATTCTCATCTGTGCCTGTGCCACCTGTAGTTGAGACGATGCTGCACTGCTTAGATAGGTAGGTGGGTAGGTGAAACAGACAACTTCCTTTAGATTTCTCACATTGATGGTGGTTGGTGCTTGCTGGTGTTGTTGTTGTTGTCGTTGCTAATGTTGGTTGGGTATCATCATCACCTCTGTCTTCTCCACATTCACCTGAAGGAAGTCTGGTCTTCGCTGTCTCACCTCGCCTCTTCTCACAACTTGTTAGCTTCCTCCTGTATATCTTCGAGTTTGTTCGACAAAATATTAGACATAAATCATCATCATCATCATCATCATCGTCGAAATCCAAATCTTCTTCTGGGGGATTTTCATCGATCCATTGTGAATCACTTGACATTTGGCATCCTCATGTATGATATAGCTGCTGTTGAATGAGGTTGATAAATGTTTGTGGGACTGAAAGCGTATTGTTGAAGCATCTGCCTGCTAGATTATTTCTCGGTCGACGCTGTGGAAGGTGTTTTCGAAATTGATGAAGTTGAGGTGGAGAGTTGACTGGCATTCAATGCTCTGTTCTATGATGATGCGTAGCGTAGCATTGCAGTTTGATCCGCAGATGATTTGTTCTTCCTGAAGTCGGCCAGCCAGCCAGCCAGTCAGTCAGCCACCTGGTTTCTGTCGTCATTTTGAATCCAGCACATCTTTCAATATCTCCAGGGTGATGCGGCCTAATATTTCGCTTGGTGGTGACAGGAGCATGATTCCGCACCAGTTTTTGCAAAGACTTATGTCGCCCTTCTTTGAGAGTTTGACAAGGTAGCCCTTCTTCCAATCAGTCAGCAGGTATCTTTCCTTCCTGCCTTCCAAACCTTCCACATTAGTGGTGTGAGTATGTCTGCTGCTGCTGCTGCTGCTGCTGCTGTTGTCTCTGTGTCTATTTTCAGTGTTTCTGAAGGAATTCCATCTGGTCCTGCTACTTTCCCGGATTTCAGCAGTTTTATGGTGTTCAGGAATTCACTCCTGCTTTTGTCGGATGGTTTGTGTTCACTGGTAATTCTGTGGCTGGGCTGCTGGTGGTATTTGTGTACGAGTTGCATCCAGTGGTGGTGGTGGTGGTGGTTGATTCAAGAGTCTTTTGAAGTAGCCAGTCATTCATTTCGTTTGTTTCTCCTCTTCCATTGGTAACTAGGTTTCCTTCACTATCATTCATTGGTTTCATCTGTGTTGATCTCTTCCCTTCCAAGTAGTAACCTGGTTATTTGACATAGTGCTGTCAGGTCTCTGTCTCTCCTACCTGTAGCCTGTTCTGCTTCACTTGCCGGAGTGTCGTCGAAGTGTCTTTTGTCTTTCCGCGCACCCTTCTTCACTTCTTTGTCCAGTGTAGTGTTTTATAGGTTGTGTTCAGTTCCTCTTTTCGTTGTTCATCCTTGCACTGCACTGCACTGCACTGCACTCGTTCATCTTCTGCTTCACCATCATTTTCCTCTCCCTCCTCTATCAACTTCCACGTGTCCGTCAAGATTCATTCCATTCCTCGTCTTGTTTCTTCTTCTTCCTTCGTAACACGGTTATGCGGGATTCCTTCCACGTCGCTTTCACAGAGTTCCAGTGTTCTTCCTCACAGGTCTCCTTGAGGATGTTGCCTAATAAAGAATGATGGTGGCTAGCAGTGGAATCCAGGATGATGGTATAGTAGAAGCAATAACACTAGATGTTGCCTAATGTCTACAATATTTTCCTGATGGCTAACGTGAAGATGTCCCTAATAGTTTCATCCTTCAGTTCAGTTTCTGTTCTGGGTGGGTGTTGAACTTCAACTGTGGTCCATCACCAGCTTCTTCGGAGGCTTTCAACTTGCTTTTGAAAGTTCCGTGCACTAGATAGTTGGTTAGTGGTGTGAACCTACATCTGTTCACCCCCCCCGTTCTGGATCTGATCTTGTGTACAGTAGGCTACATCTCCATCTCCACTTTCTTCAGGTTGAGATGAAGTCGATCTGATTTTTAGTGTGTTCTGGTGTCTGGTGAAATCCACGTCGATTTCTGAATGAATATCCTTGTGTCTGTACACACTGTCTCGCCTCCAATCACCAAGTCATTAAATGCGCAGAAGTCTGCAAACATTTCTCCATTCTCACTCATCATTTCACCGAGTGATGTCTCTCGACCCATGATTGATCGTCTTCTTGTGTTGTCTGCTTCCAGTTTGGCATTCATGTCACCTACCCATTAAAGTGATTTTTTTAATGTCGGCACCAGGGTTGGAGTCTTGTCGATTACTGATTTCAATTGTCCATAGAATTCCTCGTTCCTCTCTTGATGAGCATTATTTGTTGTTGCGTAGCGTAGTATTGTATGATTATAACTTTCCTTCCTTTTGAGTTCAATCTTGGTGTGATGACCCTGGAGGAGATTGGTTTCCACTGTGTGAGATGGAAGCTTTGATGTTGTTGGGGACATCATGATAGCCTCTTCTCGATTGTTCCCGTGGTTGTCGTCTGTGTGACAATATCGGATTAGGTTATTTACTCTCCAGTTAACAGTAACTACAGTCGAATCATCCAGTCATCGTGAGAACTGTGTCAGTTGAGTTCAAAATACCGATTGGGTAACTCCTGGCGTCAGCCGACAGAAGATGACTGTACAGCGAAAACCAGCCTCAATATTTTACGACTGTATTGATATTCAGTGTTATTCTTTACGGCAAATGAGTTCGCTTCTTGATAAAATATATGCTGTACACTTATATGAGTCATATACTTAGTTGCTGAACTGACTGACATGCACAGGAATGGTAGTAATGTCTAAAACTTTAGGAATCGTGTTTTAGGCATCTATGTAGTTCCGTTTCCCTTTATTTATTAACTACATCACACAATGGAGCTGTTTTATTTATAGCATAATATTTCGGACACGATTTATTGTTCATGCTCACATCACCATCGCATATAAATATGGACAATAAATTGTACCCAGAACGTTTCACAGTGAATAGTACTGCTTCATTGTGTGACATATTTAATAAACAGACTAAAATAGAATTACGGTTTACCATAATGCTCTAGTTTTACGCCTCTTTCCCTGTGTCGTTTGTGTTTGTAAGTATGACTAACTGCATAGTAGTTTTCGTAGCTTATCATCCGTTGTAAGGAAATTATTGCTAGTAGAAGTAATAACCTTTATCGAAATCTACAGTTCCTCGCCAAGGACCATAGCAACAAATAGAATAACACCAGGACTTTCTCGAACAATGTTATTCACATTATTTCAAATCACTTTCAGATATACAATAAGATGCTTACTGGCGAAGATGGAGCTCATGATGAAATAATTTCACCAACATCTAGTGATTCAAGTAAGTTGAAGTTAAAAAAGATGACAGTGATGCAGCCGACCCTAGTAAAACCAACTGTTCAATACGTTCACTTGTCATCTATCTCCGTTCAATTATAACTCCTGAGAATAGCAAAAAGAAATCATGTTTACAAGCTTTGCAAGTTTTATTGGAGAGTATAGTTTCGAAGGTAAATCTTTAGAATTTCACTGATTACAGATAATAACCTTAGAGTAGAAAAGAAAATTTGTCTTTGTTTTGTAAGTTTACTCATTATTCAAACTAGAGATTTGGTCGATGAGATTATTTGAGATAACCGTGGTTTGACAGACTGTTGTCATTGGTATTGGGTGATGACTGAAGGTGAAATGAAAACATGAGTCATAAGAGAATTCCAACCACCAGCCTCCGGGTTACTGGTCAGGTGTTATGCCAACTGGGCTCTGAAACCGAACAACTGAACACCTCTTAACTTCAGTCACTGATAATTTTCTTCGGATGCTATGTGAATCCATGGTATGTAACTTCCTGTTCATGGTAATCATGCAGGCTACCCAGTGGCATCTTCTCGTCTCAGTCGAAACCGACCTGGGTCAGAGAAGGGAAGTAATGTATCGATTGTTAGCTTTTACTTTTAAACAACGAGGTCTACTCTAAACTACTGACACTATTTTCACAAAGATTATTTGCATGCCTCAGTGGTTAACCTCTTAGAAGCATATGACATCCATGTGTGAACCGTAATCTGAAATTTAAAGAATAAGGTCCTCCGACAGAACAATGAATTTCGTTGCCCTCCAGCACATTTGATTTTTATGGTGTCAAAATCATGCAGACAAAAATCCACTAAGTGAAGTTTGAATGTATTGACAACAGAATTATATCCGTGAAATTGTTGATAATGACACCAACTTTCATTCTTTATTCACTTAGCTCTAATTTAGATTAGGGCAGGGAGATGAATGCCAGAGAATTAACTGGCCGTTATAGTCATCATCAGATTGCTAAAACACATGGCATCTTTATCATGGTTATAGCATTCAAAAGAAGTTGACATTAAGGCAATTTCGAGTAATTCAGTTAATAGCGAACTGATTTAATGTCATTAAGAACAGCAATAATTATGAGTTAATAGATTTAATTAGAAAGGTAGATGTTTTTAAACACTGTTGACTTTTATCTAATATTGTCATTAGTAGCACTTCAGACCTTATTTCACGACTCATCCAGATTCATTCATTGATTGATTGGGGAAAATCCGTTGTAATTTAGTTTTTTTTCACTGACATAAAATTACTAAACAAACGGAAACGGAACTTTATGAAACTTCATGAAAACCTTTCCTCGTCCTCATTCGTACTAAGCTGTAAGTCACTGATGTATGCATTGGAACTCCAAACATTTATTCATGACTTTGGATGACTCTAAATCTACTGGAGTTTTCGCAGACAGGGTAAATTGTAGATCTTCATACCAGTGTATCGTAGGCCTGGAGATGGTACTGAAAGTATTAAGTAGACTACATTTTTCATTTTAGGGTTTGGTGGCTTAGATCATCAGGTGAGTAGATGGTGTTGAAAGCTCATGAGGAATTTGAAAGCGAAAATAATTACTTGCATCTCAAGTTGTTGGTTAAGCTGTAGCTTTGGTCGGAAAAGGTCTTCATGTCAAGTCTAACGTCTAAATCAGTGCAGCTTCGTCATTTTCGCCAAGCAAAACTTTTAGGCAGAGAACCCATTATTACAAATAATGCCAACGTTGTCTTAGGAAACGAAACTATCGACTTTTGTTGCCTAACATCCATTTCACAGGGTTAAGATATGAAAATTCTTCTAAGTAATACAGTCCCCGGAATTAGGAGAACCACAATTTCCTGAGATTTGAAAAGGACAATTTAAGTTATCAGTCATTCCAAATGATAAATGGCATTTTGAATAGCCATAGGAAGAAGAATGAGTACCATTTCTGCGGAATGTATTTAATGGCTATCGGTCAATCATTAGAGTTGTTATTGGTTGTTTGGTATCTTCTATTTATATGCTTCTACAGCTTCGTATTGTTTAGCTTCTGTCTTTGACTGATTCTTATTCATATTACCTGCAAATATACATCAGTTAAAGCCCTTATGGAAGTGTGTAATAGTAATGCATATCTGCTAACAGGTAAACTTTTCACTTTCAAGTATGTAGTCAATGTCTCACTGTACTAGGGCAAGCACGCTGCTCAAATCACATTCAGTCAGTTAGTAAGCCGTGTTCCTAAGAGTTGCATGTGCTTCACGCGTCAAAGAGCTTCAAAAGAAACCCACATCTGCACTCATCATTGGTGGTGAACCGTTGAAAGGTGTCGAAACATTCGTGTACCTGGGTAGTTATGTGAATGCTGGTGGAGGTATGACTGATAAGACTTTCAACCGTATGTTGGAAGTCAGAGAGGCATACAGCATTGTTAGCTGCCTTTAAAGCCGTTGTGATGTTGGACTTGCTGTAAATGGTCCAGTACAAAATGTGCTGCTACGGGCATTCCTGCTTTACGTTTGTGAAACCTGGCTTCTCCAAGTTGGAGGTATCCGACGACTGCATTTTCAATCGTCTCCACCTGTCTAGGATTGCTCACATCCGGCGTAAAACACTATGTAATTGGTTCTGAGGTGAAGTGGTACGTGTTTGGGTGTGACGGAAATCTTCATTTATTGAGTGTTTTTTATTATTGCAACTCCGACTTTGGTGTCTCAGACATGTATTACACAAGTCTTTTCAGAGGTTCCCACACCGCTTACTGTTTATTTCCGTTCCTTTTATCATAGATCATGTCTCCTTAATGTTGCTAATTTATTTTGAATGGTATATCACCAGTACCTATGTTATACCAAGCTTGTATTCTAAATAAATAATAATGAGTTAAAGAGACGCTTTGCAGGCAAGCGTTTTGCCCAATCTCTCTTGTTTCTTGATAAAACGAGACAAAAGTAAAAGCTTTGAAATACGTAGTCTAAAATTAGCAAATTTTCTACAACAGTCCGTCATGCTAGATTAACAAAATCCCCCAAATAAAAACGATTAGGTTGCGATGCTGATGCCGGAAACCGAGCTAGCAGATCCATAAAAGTGATTCAGTTTTTCTGATCATACGAAAAAAGAGAAGATGAAAGCAGCAAAGGGAATTTCTCCATTTCGACGGACTGTTTCCCTTAGCTGTACACTCATGATAATATAGTGGAGAGGGAAAACATTTCGGAATAATTTCCCATCAGTGGTCAAAATATACAGATATTCAAGGAAGAACCACAATTCTATGGTTATCTGTTTGTTACATATTTCACACATTTTAAATAGGACTATTTACTGGACGATGTTTCGAAAAGAATTTACTGTTTAAACTAATACCAAAGGTAACTCCACATCTTTTGCATACTGTTTTCATAGCTCCGATTCCTTTCGAAATATCTGGAAAAAATATTGAGTCACTTCCGTTTCACGTGTTTAATTTTGGTTCGATGAACAAAGCTTCAGTTATAAATCTCTCCCTTCACAGTGATTGCGAGGTCAACCATATAGGTCAAAGTATTTGAGTGGGGTCAATTAGAACAACAAAGCACAAAAATCTAAGTCTAGAATGATAGATCCTGGTGAAAAAGGGATCTAGAGAAAATCTCAACCAATCTGATGTATGTTATCTTACATATAATCAAATAACTGGGTGGTACATAGTGATAGTCGCTGAACCGCTTGTTTTATTATGTAGAATGTTCAGTCTCTTACGATGGTCATGATAAATAAAGTTGGGGCATATACTGCTAGTAAATCCACAGTGATGGTTGGAACTTTTCGAGTGCTAGTGCTTCTGCTATGTTCAGTTATCTTATTCCTAATCTGGATAGCTTGAAGACATTTTATAGGCAATGTGAAGGATTTATCGAGAGGGAACGGATGTCGTGAGTTTACTAAATGCTCTGATACAGAACAGAAGATACATATCTGTTCTTTTTGCTAACTTGTGTTGATACGACCTATGTACTAGTCCCACACCAGCAAGTGCACTGATTAATAATGGAGAATTATTACAAGGAATCCTTTCCTAGGATATACTCACTGATTCCTTTATCATGAAACTAAAATCAATGTTAAGAGAGCTGTTGGGTAATATTCAGGCAAGCAGACTCATCTAACTGTTGAAATGCCCAAAAATACAGGATATGTAAGCATTCTCTACAGTATATGAAATTTTATGTATAAGTTGATGAAACAGGAAACTTAGTTTTCTTTGAATGTTTTTCTTTTCAAAATATTAAAATTTCCATCAGGTAGTTATGCTAGATTTGTATTCACGCATTTTAACAACGTCTTTTTCTAAAATCAATTTAATCGGACATTATTTCTTGTTGATTTCATCTCTTGCATAACCCATATATATATGCTTGTCTAGAAATTAAACCTTATACACTTTGAAACAAGACCTCCATTCACTTCATGCCACACAAGTGAAGATATTCAGTACTCCTGTTTGGTGACTATAAAAGCAAATGAAGAAGATTTGAATTGTTTCTGTAATGAATTACGCAGCTTTCAGTTTATTTCTGAGGTAATTTGATAAATGAACAAAAACATCCAGGTCAGTGTATGGTTGTGACCAGAATACATTTTAAATTTCACCTTTCGTCTATTAATTTTACTGGTAACTGTTATTACCACAACTCAGTAGCAAATTCTTATTTAACTTTTTTCATTTCTTAACGTTTCATTGTAACGAAATATTGGATACTTCATCAAGCTTGGGTCTGTAGTTGCCAATGCCTTGGCTATGAAATGTACTTTTATTTAGATTCTGAATGAGTGCAATACTCTTAATGGAGGTCCTATTTGAAACTCTACAAGAAAGCATTTGTTTTATTCTCAGGATTAAGGTTAAAAAAAAAGATCAAGTAAAGTATTGTTACGATAACTGAAGGTTATTGAATTTTGATCCATTCAAAAGATGAAGATAAATTTTAACTTATTAGAGATAGAAAAGATGATGATCCACGGTGATTTCCGATATTGAGTCCAACATCCACACAATATCTCTATTTTCAGCCAAATACCTCTCAGAAATAAACACATTATTACGTTTAGTCGAGGAGCTGACTTTCCAACTTCCTTTTATTTTACTAAAGTGTTATTCAGTGTAGTATCGTTGACAAGTATATCGATGTAATGTGAGGTGTTAAAGCCGATAGGTTACATATGAAACAACTAAAGGGGAGAATTTTCGCTCACATAATAATATTCAGTGTGATATGTGACAATGTGTTGATGGTTGAAATGCAACATAGTGAACATCTTTGGTTCAGTCAACGTAAAATAGGAAGAAGCTATTCGCTACTTTTAGGAGCACCAAGTCTCTCCGAAAATTCTCATTCTCTTACTTATTGTAATACTTTTGTAATCAATAATTTACTCTCTAAATTAATCTGAATAGTTCTTGTGTGAGGCTTGATTACCCCTGTTGGGAGCTCTGGCTGACCAAAATCAGCAATACTCACTCGAACTGTGTTCTTTATCAATTTGTTGTATAATTCATAACTGTCGAAAATCCATATTACTGTTATCTTATCATCGTACATGTATTTGTTGAATTGGAAATAAGTAACAGATATATCATGTATACTATTTAGTTGTTGATTTGCACGAATTTACTACTTTAAAGGTAATTCATAACTTGAATTGATATCAATCGGAGAACTTATGAAAACCTAGGGGCATTGAATAGCTGTTTCAGCATAGTTTAGGACTTCTTGGCAGTATAAAATAGCTATCTAGTACTTCTAACTTTTCAGTACTTCTTCAACTTCTTCAAATTCCACCAAGATCATGTACATTGCATATGGAGAAACAACTGAATGGAATACTTCAAAATGAAAACATTCTCAGCTAATTTTTAACGTTGTTTTCTAGGACAACTAAAAGCTAACTAGATTTATTTTTACACCTTGAATTACAAAATTCTTCCTTTTATTTGAAGGTTTTTTTTAACGATCAACAGATATCTTCACCCTTAAACCAAATAATGAGTACGAAGAGTTAGGGTAAGTAAATAGTTGTGTTACTAACAGCTAACCATAAAGACTTATCTTTTCAGAAATGATAGATACAAAACAGAATGACCGAGGGAAGGCCAAAAATAAGCTGAACAGTTTAGGGTTGAAACTCAAAAATGTTCTGTGAGTCATATCTCCTACCGCATAAGAAAGAGGACAAAGAGATCAGGAAATATCGATGTATTGCTTGCTCAGCAGGAATGAAAATTCAACCATTCAACCGTCACATTGATGTCTGCTTGATGACTAGTCATGACATCCAGGACCTACGTTTTGACCTGTTTGGGACTCATGTTGTTCCGCTGAGATTCGAACCCAATGCACGTCGCTTCAAACGCCAGAAGCATTATTCACTGGACCACTGGGATATGACAGCCGCCGCTGGTGAAGGAGTTATCAGTTGTTATTTATTGATATTTGAAATCTCCTGTCGCTATAGTGGGTCAAACTGCCCAACCTCTGTTGGCAGATTGGTTCCTAAACGGATGCCTCTATTACAAGTAACAAAAAACAACTGATAACCGTTGCATAAGGGGTGGATATGATGCTGAAGTGGCCTAGAGGATAACGCGTTGGGTTTTGAGGTGATGAGCACTAGATTTGGGTTTCAGTGGGAACAACACCACTCACTGGGGTGCAGGCATATCCAGCTGAGGAGTATCAAATAGGAAGAAACACACGTTCTGGATTCCATTGCTAGACACCCAACGGACATTACCGTAATCAGTAATCAGGCAGTACCAAGACGTCCACATAGGGCCCCATATACCAACAGACGTTTTCCAATCGTTGCTTTATTTACCACTCAAAAATAAATATAACAGCTTGAAGTAAAATGCCCTACTTTCAGATATTTTCCATGACTTAAGCGTGTTCACTCCAATGGTGTGTTTTTCCAATGTACGTTGAACTCTGGTTAACTGTTCTAAATTGGTCAGATAATTTTAGGTCAAGCACAGTGAAATTTGTTCAAGTGACTAACTATGCCTAAAATTCTGATTATCACGAAACATCTACATATTTTGCTTCATTTTTAAGAAATACGCGCCTAATCCTTTCCCGAAAAATTTAAACAGACAGTTACAGTGATGTACAAGATGATCCGGCAGCTGTTATTTACACTCTTTGCCTACTGTATTAACTGTGTAGATTTTAAATTTTAATTTAGTACAACTTAAAACATGGTCATATGAGGTGTCATCAGACACAGACAAGGGCTTTCCTCTGTTTGTTATTTAGTGAGAATGAGAGTACACTCAAACAGTGTCCATCTTATCCCAAAGTAATTGACTCTGCTTGTCAGAAATATCAAAATAGATCTCTTTTTAATCGAAAGATATGTCATACATCTTTATTGTGACCAAAAATGCCTTCAAGTAATTCCCAAACTGTTTCCATTAACAGTTAATGAAGAAGCCCTGTATGATAAAGGTAATAATTTCAACCCGTGCTACAGATTGATTTACATTGGATAATTAAGGATTAATTTCCTTGGAAAAGCTTGAATAATGAAAGATTCGATCGATTTTTGGAAGCTTTTGTTGGTATTAGGTTATATGATTATTTTATAACTATCTTGGATTAACTGGACCAATGATGGAAGCCTTCAAAACTTGGAGTCTCAGCAAGCAAACCAAATCTAAAAGTATCAAATTTAAAATGAATTTTAGGATTTCTACATGAGAAATTCTGTGTTTCATCTTCGGGGAATGGGGGGGAATGGTCACCAATAAAATACATACATATTGATAAACAGAAATGCTAGAAAGGACCACTTCTGAAGACGTTAACAGTATGAAAATAAAAACTAACCTTTGAATAAAATATAACCTCTCTTAAAGTTGAAAGTGATACTTATCTTATTTAAGGACCGTCACGCATACAACAGCTGCAAAAGATATAACTTACCGACTAACTTTTAGATACTAGTATCATAATCACCTTCTTTGGTATTTGTCATTAACCTAGAACTTCTCTAGAAGTTGGACTTTACTAAGGAATGACCTTTAATGAACGTTTATAAGCTATGTATGTTTTAGATGGTGATGAGCGGTGAAAAATCCACTCATCCGGCTCCAAGTTACTCCTGGTACAGGTGTGTGATGTAGGATCTCCAGTGCTCAAAGTTATTGACCTTGTAGTCTTGAAAGCTTTTTTATACCCTTTTCTTAGCAAAATCAGTCAGTAGTAAAAACCTGAAGAGGAAAACGTTTTACATTCTTTACTGTCATATTTCTGATGTATTGTTACAACCAGACATCGAAAAAGAGTTGCCAAAAGAAAAAAAATGATTGGTTAGTCAATAGAAGGTAGCTTATTTCATTGTGTCTGGTCCTAAATGTTGATCGAATTCTGTCAACCACTTCGTCAACTAGGAGACAGAATCATCAAATAGTCTTACCGATGTTGGATGACTGGAGGGAACTGACAGGAAGACTCGAACCTGTGAGGGCATAGGTTTCATCGAGGTTGTAGATATGTCTTGCCGATGGGTACCAACAAGCATGAATCCTAGATAAAGTAGAGCTTCCCATTGATTACAGCAAACCATGTAGCACCAAACATAAGATCGGTCATAAACGTCGATGCTTTCAACTACTACTGAATATTTTAAGGTGTTTGTAAACAGACCAGATGATCATTTGAAGACGTTTAATAAAAAATACTACCTAAGTGATATGAATGAAGCTGTTTCACTGATCAGCAATGCCTCCTAAAACTATCCAAGTGGACTAGTTAATAAACTCCTACAAACATTCAGCGGCATATGAAGTGATGCATAAAAAAACTTCAGAACAAATTGTAAACATGACCTTTATAACTGGGTTAACATATGGAACTAGATAAATATAATATCCTTTACTGTTCAACCGTTGACCAGTACACGGATTCCAGTAATATAGAGTTAGTTAACGAGCATTTCGAGTTCTAGGAATGACAAAGGTCAATAGTATTTCTGTTCTGACAGGTATGAAATTAATTATTGAGAAACACAAATAGGCAACAATATTTGAGTGAAACTGTTTCTTCTGCTGCATAATGAATAAAACATATATGGAAGTCAACATCTGCTGTCTATCAGTACTACCTAAGCTTTTCTATTGGAATTCGGTAACATCTCATCCATTTTAATTAGATAGCCTGAAAAATAACATGAAAAAACTAAGGCTTATTCCTTTTTCAATTCTTTTGATCATGTTTTACAGTCTGGTATCCTAAACATATTTCTGATTTGGACAATTGCCGACATTTACTACTTAAATTTCAACCTGAATTACAAACAGATCATCCAGTAAGTTGTCCATTTAAGAAGGACGGTATTGTTCAGAGATTTGTTTAAATCTTCTCATATGCTACGTTACTTTTAAAACATCCACTGCTTTGTAGTATATATATTTTTGGGCCACCTTTGTGTTTTAGAAAAAGATTATTGCGCCTGAAAAATATGTACATCTGTTCAACTGCGACACTAACCTATAACCAGTGATTACTTTTTCTGTGGTAATGCATTCAATGGCTTTTTCTGTCACTTATTATTTATAGTGTATAGTGTGTTTGGGAATAAGTTTACGTGAAGCGCAATATAATTTACCTTGCTTAGTGACTAGAACTCCTCAGGGATGCACACTTACGACCCATGGAGGAGAGAATCTAATGGTGAAAACTGACAGTTTTGGATTTCAGCCCGGGTTCCATTATACATGCACACTACTAAGCAGTCATAAATAAGAAGAAACATCTATCCAGGACTTCTGGATCATTAGTAGTTCTCCGAACTGTCATTCTGTTAAAAAAGCTTCTTTAAAAGCACTCAATTGATATAGACCATCAACTGAATGACCTTGAAATTTTAGCCTCAATCTTTTCATGGTGTAGTGTAACCATTATTCATTGTCATCAGCAGGCCTCTATCCTCACTCCTCCTCCTCACTCACTTATTTAACCTTACCGATCAGGGCGAAGTAAATGGATAACAAGCAGTAAACAACTTCTCATTTGAGTAGTTCACGACAAACTAATTGATTCTTATTTCCTATGACAGAAATGATTCATTTCAAAATCCAGTTATTATTACTTCTCTTTTGGGGTATATCACACGTTGATCAAAAAACCCCTTCTTGAGATATGCGTTAATTCGTTACTTCAAATTTTCCAAATGAGGGCACTCTCATGATGTTGTATACTCTTAGTTTACATACGAACCAAATTTCTTAACTATGCAGTTGATCTAGTTTCTTCTCATCTCTAAACCCCTTAAATTTAGGGTTTTCATGACAAAGCATATCGAAGAAGACGGGAAAAGATTGCTGAAATAGCATTTAATTATCGATAGTAAGTCAATTCACTTATCTTTGAAGTAGTAAATCGACATGGTATGTTTTTGTTAAGTTGTAAGTGCTGATAATGAGATAGTATTCTGGCTTTTATGAAAAAGAATCCTCTTTGTTTTATTTATCTACTCGTGTATTCACACAGTATTCTTAAATTGCTAATGAATGATAGATCGATCGGATATTGGAGAAGAAATCATGAAATACTAATCATTTTTTGACTTTGTTCTGAATAAAGTTGACTTAAAGTACTTCTAACATCATATTTTGTTGAGTTGAAAAGCATATATACACTCTAAGATGAGAACAATTAACCAAAATAGTTTTTTACTCTGTGTCTCTGATTTCCGTCTATCAAACCATTTGTAAAGACACATAAAATCAGCATTCAGGTAACTATGGTTGCAGTAATTATTGCGAAACTAAGCCGATCGTATTTTGCATTCTTGACTGAAAATTTTGATGCACCCTATCTCATCACATCATTCCGCAGGTTGATAATCCAGCGGGAATGAGCTTACAAGACTATAAATAAAGCGTTTTAAAACACCACTGAATATATACAGCTGTCAGTAAATTCTAGAATGCGTAATGCATTTGGTTTCAGTGTAAGTGGTGTGATGGGTACACAGCACTCACTGCTTCTGAAACCAGAATGTCATCCATTAGCCTACTGAGTTATGATGGCCACCACTTGTACAATAAGTACATAGTACGATACGTCATATTTTGTAATTTCCTACTGTTGATTTATTTGGGCTTAACTGAATGCTCATATCGATACATTGGATAGTGTGTGACTGTCTCAATACTTATGACAGACGGCAGTTAGTAGTGAAATAAATTCTTAGTATTTAGTCGAATTCATCAATGGTATCAAGGTATCCGTTCCAGATACTGATGGTAATCAACCAGATCTTAAATATTGTCCTACCAACTTCGTTATTAATAATGGGAGTAATTTCATCCACCACATAGAAGGATAACCAGCTACATGTGATGGAAATCTGTAAAAAACTGTCCATAAAATCCCTTTTGCTAATATTGAAAAATCTCTGGGGGATGGTGGTCTAACGAATTGATGAAAATTTGAGATTATTACATAAATTTTAGGTCTGAGTTTGAGAGTATTTATCTTTGCTTATTGTTAAACCATTCAAGAGATTGTTAAGAAAATTTAGGTTTTCCCTTTCAGCAATTCTACTGAAATTCAGTAGTATAGATCTTTAAATTTCAGTCATTTAAATGAGTACATATTTCATCCTATTTTATAAATTCAGGGCTGTACGTACTCAAGATGTTAACTCATATCAGACTGAATCTTACAAATGATTCCCTTCACATAAGACAAAACTGCACAAATCACATATGATAAGTAAGGATTGAACTATTTTTATTGTTGAAAGATATATGACTTCAGAAAAGGTCCTAGAACTTATTATATTTGGAAAAATAACTTACTATTGTGTTTACATCAGTAAAACTGTACAGTGTTATCGTAACGCAAGTATACAAATATGTGATACACATTTTGATAAATTTAAGGACAAGTGAAATAAATATTTTCTGCTTATTATTTTTGGTGTAGTGGTGATCCTATACCTGAAGTCCAATACACTGAAGAAGAGATAGAAACTTGGTACGTTTCTTTTCCATTCTGAATAAAGTATTCTCAAATTCATAAGGAATATTGCACTCATTTATTGGTAAGTTTGAATGAAATATGATAACTGATGCAGAAATACAGTTTAGTGTTCCAAATGTTGTGTTCACTAGCTGTAGGCTTTAAACACCAACCTTTAAATTGTTGGCCTAGATGTTCAACCAACTCATATTTTTGAAGTAAAAGAGTAGAAGGTCCTGCAATTAGGTTTCATCCTCTCGAAACCATCAGGTAATTCATAGTTCCTCGTAATTTAAGTCTGTGTCACTTAGTTCCAAAGTGAAACGTTATTATTACTATTTTTAGGTCCATCAGTTCGTGGATAATCCACAGTAAGATTAGATTATGCGCACGATCTGTCCACAAATGTTTCTATCTTATCGAAACTCTTCTCAGTGATGCACTGATTTATGCAGGTTAGAATATCTTGATTGTATTGTGTTCTCTGAGCTGGGTTGTTTAGTTGTGGAGCTTTCATTGTCCTGCTAGACGACATCAACAGCACTAACTTCATACAGCTGTCTATTGCCCCCAGGTTTCCAATGACCCTCCAACTGATATCAGTCCATGATGCATTTCAGGCTGAAATCAATTAGTATATCTCCGCAAACCTCCAGACTGGAACAATGAATTATTACTAATATCTCTGAGGCTATATTTGTGATGATTAAGGCTCAGAAAACTTTTGAATGCCTAATTCTTCAAACGAGAGGTAAAATTATACATGAAATGGAATCTTTATACGTGCACAGTATGGTTACAGACTTATTTGTAAACAACTTTTCTGCAATCAAAACACGTCAGAAATGATCAGCAAAGTGATATAATACTTTAGAAATGAATAGTTGGAAAATAGTCATGAGCTGCAAATTTCACTTACCAAACCAGAGTTTTTTCATGACTTGAAAAAAATGAAAAGCTGAATTACGGTTATAGAACAGAAGTAGCAGACAGCTGATGAACTTGATAATGAGAAATAAGAAGGGAACAGTAGTTTTTGCATCTCTTTTATAGACAGACACCTCAGTAGTATATACACTGAAATTTTTGTTAGGCTTACACTCTTTAGGCAGCAAACTGTCTCTTGAGTTTCTTCAGTTGACTGATTTCAGCCTTGTCAGGTCCATAGGGAATTTCGAATCTCAGTGATACACACGTTGCTTCATGGTATATTTTTTTAAATTTCATTTCCTGAATTTATTTTTTCTTCTTTTAACTCTGAAAATTAAAGGGGAACGGTTTTTCAAAAAATGAAATCTATGCACAGTACAAAAGCATGCAAGGAGTATATTGATGGATTTCAACTGCTAGAAAAGTATTGTAATTATAATTCAGACAGCATTCCACAGCTTAAAACAGTCTCTGCATTTATGCAGCGTAAGTGTATTCATGTTTTCACTTGAAAAATGTATCCACTGACATATCACTTAAGATAAGGTTTTATTCCTCAGAATTATATTAATACCTACTATTTGCACTTTAGACTTGCCTAACGAGATATATGATAATTAGCGAAAATGAAAATGATATAAAGGAATTCACTGAGCACCCTCAAACCGGAATGAAACAACTTATCAGTCCCTTACGGTTTTCTTCAGTCCTCTAGCTAGTCCTGATTCATGACGGATACTTTGATGTAGTTGTGAACAATTAATCGTGCTCAAAAAATCATTCAGTGAAAAGCACCGTTTTTTTATGTGAGCGATGAAACAAACAAAATATCATAGGATCAGTCACTTTGCTACAGATCTCGTTACTGAAAAACTACTGAAGATTCAACTTACGCTTTTATTTAACAGAAACGGCCTAATTTACCTTTACAGCTTTGCTAATGAAACGAGGTTTGCAGTCTCTTAGTTGAGGACGTTTAGATAACCACAAGAAGGCAAAATATTATCTCCGTTGTTTGACTTATTTGTGCACCACATTCGAACGATATGGTGGTTAAGCACATACTAACTGTTGGGATATACACTAGGTATAATAAAGAATTTAAGGGCTGAACAAGTAATGACAATAGTTTTAGTGTTATGTTTGAGAATTTCAAGCATTTTCAGTATTTATTATCCCTTGTCTTTATTCAAGCGACAAGGTAAATAAAATAAACAGACAATTCACATTAGTACAGATCTAATGGAGTACTCATTCACTTACTGAACTAGGTATTTTAGTTATTTGACCATCTACCTAAGATCATTTGAATGTTAAAAAGAATGAAATTAATGCTTATAAAAGAACAATTTCCATAAGTAAGGTTGCAAAGACGCCAGTAAGCGTTTCAAGTATGCTGAAAATAATCATCAGCCGAGATGTTAAGTGAAATACACCTAATCTTAAAAGTGTTTTGTAGGTTATACCCCAGCAAAATACTGACAGAATGAAACTGGCCGTAGACACGTCACAGCAGCTGAATAGAGATCTTAGTGACAAAGTTTGCTCGCACTATTATAAATATGCTCCATGTATAGAAGCTTTATTCAACTGTTTTGAAGATTAATGCATATTACTTCCTTACTGTCAAACTTATGCTTTTTAAACATACAGAATTGTGAACATAATACATCAACTGTTGTTGTCACGTTTATCTACGCAGAGGGATAGCACTTTTTATCACCCAGTAGTGCATTGTGTGACTCAGTTTCTATTGTTCATTAATCAACAACTTTTTTGCCTTCAACTAGGTTCATACTGATGGTCTCCTATTATTTAAGGTCTTAAAATGAACAGAAACACCAAAAGATAAACGTTAACACTACATTCTAAAGGACAGTATTTGATATGCAGTTAAAATGAAATAATTATACACATAACCTTCGACAATAGTTTCGTATTAATTTGGACATTCTTTTTTAATTTAACTGCATAGGAACATCAGGATTTCGTATTAGACCTGTAGCAGGTTTAGTTACACCAAGAGATTTTCTTGCAAGTCTGGCTTTCAGAGTGTTTCAAAGTACGCAATATATTCGTCATCATTCACGTCCTTTGCACACTCCAGAACCGTAAGTCTATAGCGGATATTTTATTTCACGTATAACATTTATACATGTCAGGGTATTATTGTTAACACCTTCGAATATTTATTCCTCATAGACTGACATCACTTGGAGGAACAAGGGAAACCTTGGAGGAGTGGACCGATGGGGTCAACCAAGTTGAACATGAGGAAAGTTACTCAACAATGACACTGAATGAAGTTTGCACTATATCATGAACTGATAGAAGTAGGGAATGTGGACTATTGGATTCGACACAGTGGCTTAGTGTCGCCGTGCTGGCCACGGAACCTTAAGGTCATGCATTCGATCCCTATGGGGGGTCATATGTGCGCACTACTGAAGAGTCCCATACTAGGGCGAGACAGCTGTCTAGTGCCCCTAGGTTTCCAGTGTTACTCCATTTGATGTCAGTCCCTGATGAATACCAACTTGACATCACTAAAAATCTCCACAAACCCCCTAATTTCCTTCAAATATACTTGGATCAGTGGCTGTGTCATCAACGTAGCTTATTAGCCATACTGTACTTCCTGTTGATATTCATCAGTTTAGCATCAAAGTTCATATGGATACTTTGCTTACCATTCTGCTACAGGTTTATACATGGAATTCAGTCCTACAGTTTAGCAGTGAAATATTAGTATAGGAGTGAATGATGCAGGTTCGAGTCTGTGGTAAGCTACGAGTTACGTCATGGGTAACAATGACTACTAGACAGCATAAGACCTAGGTCTGCAGCTGATGTCTCATTGGTAGTGGGCACAGTAAGCTAAACTGTCGTGTTACTCGGAATAAAAACCACAGCATGAACATATATAGTGGAAACCCACCCAAACCAAAAGGTTGGTAACTATTATGATTACCATCTGATCACCAACTTACATACAATTACAGGTATGTAAGATCACATAAAAAACATTTTAAACACCATTACAGATTAAGTATGCTGATAAATTTAAATGCAAGCCTAAATAATGTGCACAAATGTGTCAAGCCCGTATAAAATTAGGGCAAATATAGAAACAGTATCGAACCATTTGGAATCATTGATGACGGCATTTGATTTCCAAAGCTCAACTAGAATCTTAGTCGCAATGGTGGTCGAATGAGTGATACACAACTTGTATCATCTGGTTTGTATAATCAGGCCATCAGAAATGTAAAATGCAAGAATAATCTGTAGTCAAATATGCTCACCTTCTACTGTTGCAAGGGTGTAACTATTGTTGGCATAAAACTCATCGATTGTTGTAGAGGAGTAGTTGCCTCTTTATGATCGTTAACTATTTAAGAAGGATAGAAAAGTCAGCGTGAATATACCAGGTTGTTCCCATGACCTTGTCAAATATGCACAGTAATCTCCCTATTAAATCATAAAAAAGGATATGATTACGAAGATTATCTTCTTTCCAGGGATTACACTTTCTAAAACTATTAAATTGCTTTTACTTAAATTAGAAATATACAATAGTTTGGTATTATTCTTTGTAATATCCTACTCAAAAATGGATATCCACAAAAATTCATTAACTCTATAATGAAAGGAAAATTACAAACAGAAAAGCTATTAACCTTCTAAGAGAAAACTGTCTCTATAGAACTGGAATTTAAAGACAACCTTACAGCTGAAATTTTGAATAACTACTTCTCAAGATATTTGAATTAACACACGCACCCTGAGAATTACATTTTCCAGTAGGCAATTAATTCACTTTCTGTACTTTAAGGCTAGCATACTACCTTTGGCCAACTCAATCTGCATTTATTACTTTAATTGTTCCTGTGAATTAATACACGCTCATTATGCACAGCGTCAAATTCGAAAAAGTATTTTTGAAGATTGTTCAGCATAGTTATTCAGAAAAGAGAGAAATATCAAAAATCTTATTCTTGAACAGCTTGTCATTTCTGGACACGTGCACTCTTCTAGTAGTTACTTTAAAGTGATTTACATAGTACCTTTTTCACAATTTCAAAGGCTTTCGACTATGTCATCTATGCACAACCACAACTTTAAATCTGATTTTTATGTTTAAAAACATTCCATGCACTCATTAGCCTTACCATGGTCAGGTTAGTGATCTCCTTCTGTCTTTAGAAAGTATTTATTCTACTGTTGAACGCTGTAGTAGACAAGTAACCCTGTTATCAACACCTATATCCTTGAACACCTCGTCACTTCTGAACATCTGGCTCCAACAAGTGATTCGTTCAAAGTAAGTTACAGAGTGCTTTCCCACAATTCCAAAGGACTTCAACTACGGCGTCTATCAGTGGCCAAATAATAGGCAGTTCACAACCTCACACCAAATCTTTGTGTTCAAAAATACTTCATGCATTCAATAGTCTTATCAGAGTATCACTATCATTCTATCTATTTTTACTCAACTCTTGAACATTATAGTAATCTCATGTCCCTGTTGGTTAATGATAGAATGTGAACTGTTTCCAAATGTTATCAATACGAGTGTACAGTTTTAATAAATGATATTGTCGAAAGTAAAATTCTCTTCATATTTGCTTTTTTTCCCTATCACAAATAGAGATCTAAATAACTTTTTTTATTATGGCTTTGCCATCAGCTGCGAAATTTGTCTTCGGTCAACATTTTTCACCATCTAAATATTATCATTGACTGTGTTTCTCTTTGAATGCTTGTTCACATTTGATTCATATAGTATTCTAGCATTTTATTCAACGCTACACTCAAAACGTCTTAATACTTATACCTAATAGCTAGTTTTCAATATCTACGACGTTATCTGCTGTTACGGTACATTAATCATAAATGAAGATATTTGGAGCGTTTTTACGTTAGTATGACGTAATGAATTGAAAACACTTTTCATCTCTATTCCATATTTAGTGATTGCATTCATGAATTGATTGGTCATATGCCAATGTTAGTAAACAGAAAATTCGCTGATTTCTCTCAAGAGATCGGTCTTGCTTCTTTGGGTGCTACTGATGAAGAAATCACCAAGCTGTCAACAGTAGGTTAATACAATTTCACTTTTAATTCTTCATGTGTATTACAATGTAAAAAGTTTCTTCTTACCCTATAAACTATCTTAATCGTCTATATTATTATTATTTTTTTCCCCTCGGGTTCCTCATAGAATATACGGCTTCAGTAGCACGCCTCCATTGCACTCTCTTCTCTCCAGTCTTTTCAACCTGGCTCCACCAATGCCCACAAGCTTCCATTCCTTCCTCACACCATCTCCTCCATGTCACCCCCGCCACAGACACCCAACTCGTTGCTTCACATCTGGATTCCACTCGACGGCCTGGCCTGGCCTGGCCTGACCTGAAGCGTGATGTCCGTAATCGGTCTTCTCAGAGTATGCCCAATCCAATCCATCTCCACTTTCTTCCACTGCACATTTGTTGGGTGATAGATTCTTGATTGGTTCGTTCCCAGACTTCCTTCTTGCTTATTCTTATTATTCTAATCATCTGATCTTCAGTGGCAGTATCAAGTGAGCGTAGGCGACAGCTGTTGATGAATGTCTGCAGTTTTTTGGAAATGCTTTTCGTGAGGTGCCAAGTCTCTCAACCATCACATAGAAGCACTGAGTTACTTGACTGGCATTAGTGTTGAAAATCTGGATCTCGTTCACACTTTATACTGAGTGTAGTGCAGTACAGTACAGTACAGTACAGTACAGTACAGTACAGTACATCTCCACACTAATCTCAGATTAATGCAGGAAGGCCTGTCTTGATGTCTTTCCAATCCCGACTGGCTTTGACGTTCTCATCTGTGCCTGTGCCACCTGTAGTTGAGACGATGCTGCACTGCCTAGATAGGTAGGTGGGTAGGTGAAACAGACAACTTCATTTAGATTTCTCACATTGATGGTGATTGGTGCTTGCTGGTGTTGTTGTTGTTGTTGTCGTCGTCGTCGTTGTTGCTGCTGTTGTCGCTGTTGCTATTTTTGTTTGGGTATCTTCATCACCTCTGTCTTCTCCACATTCACCTGAAGGAAGTCCCGTCTTCGCTGCCCTGCCTCGCCTCGCCTCGCCTCCTCTGTCAACTTGTTGGTTTTCCCCTGCAGATCTTCCAGTTTGTGCAACAAGACATTAGACATAAATCATCATCATCATCATCATCATCATCATCATCATCATCATCATCATCATCATCATCATCATCATCATCATCATCATCATCAACGGTGGTGAAATCCAAATCTTCTTCTGGGGTCTCTTCATCGTTCCAGTCAGGATTTGCTCATCTTCTCGCTCCTCACACTTTGTTGCATGATCCAGTCCAGTCCACTCCAGTGCAGTCCAGTCCAGTCGATCACAATCAGGAAGATTATGGGTGACAGTAGGTGGCAACTGTGTCTTACTCCTGTCTTCACTTCAAAGTCGTCACTGAGCTTTCCATTGTGAATCACTTGGCATGTAGCTTCCTCATATATAATATAGCTGCTGTTGAATGAGGTTGATAAATGTTTGTGGGACTGAAGGCGTATTGTTGAAGCATCTGCCTACTAGATTACTTCTTGGTGGACGCTGTTGGAGGCCTTTTCAGAATTGATGAAGTTGAGGTAGGGAGTTACTGGTTTATATACATAGTCATTATTAACAATATCTAGGTCAAAATGTTTAAAATTTCAAGAATGAAATTTACCGGGTTTCCGTCCAAATTTATAAGACCTAATTGTGGGTTTTCAGTATGTATTACATACTATGATTAAAAAAGTAGTGAATATATAGTATGTACGAGTACACTTCAACCGTACGACTGATGAACCATACAACATAATGACTAACACAGCTGTGTATATTTTATGCATTGTTGATGTCGATACAACCGTTACAATCAAGAATTTGTTCTGCACCTGTTGTGTTCACTTATAAACAGGTTAGTTAATGGACAAATTGAAATGGCTATAAAGCATCATAAAAGCAGTATCCAAGATTTCAGATACACAGGTGAACAGTTTTAATAACTGAAAACCATTCATACTGACCTAAAGGTTGCAACAGTGAGGTATTAGAGACCTGAATACTTCTAAAAATCTGCTACCAACTGTGGTAAAACCTGGTGTTTTTTTCCCTACTGGTGCTCTGCTGACTGAGCAACTCGAAATACCCGACAGGTAAATCTCAGCTTCGCAGGGTGTTATAATGCGACTGTTGATGAAATTTAAGTTTTACTTTGACCCATTAGATCCGCTTCAGCTGGTATCGATTCCTCCTAATCAGTCGATAAGACAGGTAGTTGAAACAACTTTTCTATGTCCTGTGGACTGGTCTGTATTTTGTGTTAGTAAACTAACCTACTAGTTTGGACTGAGAAACCTTCAGATTGCCGCGCACTATTTCTAGCTACTTTTGTTTTCGGCTAGCATTAATCTATCTTTTCTTACAATGGTTTTGCACAAGTTTCAGAACGAGTAATAAAGTGATACTACTAACATATCCAGATTATGTTATTCCACAATTATGCCTTAAAATGATTCTAGAAACCAACACTATCCGTGAATACCTCAAGAATCTTTTCAAGTGTTCTGCTTCTTTGTTGTTCACAATGTTCAATATTTTCAAATACACATTAAGAAGACTAAAAAGTACTTTCATATCTGTGAAACAGAAATGCTACTTATTTTGATTTGAGATGTGATCTTAAAACATGGAGAATCTATAATGCTAAGAACTGAGAAAAAAGCTGAAATAGGCAGTGAATTCCGTTTAAAAAAATGCAGTGTGCTTCAGACCCCCTTATTTTCTGTTTACGAAGGTTAACCTTTGAATTAAGATAATTGAAGGTAGTCGATAAAATGCTCTGAACCTAGGCTTTATACTTGTTGGCACTCGTCAACCAAGAGAATCTGGGGCATCTAGGGGAGTGAAGTTCTGTGGGAGATTTGAACACACGTCAGCCAATGCAGCAGTCAGAGGTGTTACCACTGAGCTATTTGGGCGTGATTAACTCTCTGTGGGAATGAGTCAGATACAATGATTGCTGACCGTCTAGTTCTGAGTGCTGGCCTAATCCTGTCGTCATTTTACTATATGGTCATTAGGCTAGGAAACTCAGCATCTTGGTACACTTTGATTGACCAATTGACATAAGGTTAACTGTTTATAATATAACTAAATGAATAGTCTTGAAAGCGATTAAGAAATTGATGGAAATAACAAATGACTATTAATTAATATGTAACATCACTGACCAAGCAGCTGCAAAGAACTGAGAGAATTTACAGTAATTGAAAGAGCTTGATGAACAATGTTCTGATGACAAAATTGTGGTTTGAAATAGAAAAGGTAGAGAAAGTGAAGAATGACACGATAAAATACTTAGTAAGTTTTTTGTAGACTATGCTTAACACGAATTGGTTTTAGGCAGTGGCAATAGCAATGGCTTCTGAAAATCATAACAATTTCAGCTTTCTTATTTATTTATTACTTTAAATGACGTAAAACGGTCTACAGTCTGTCTCATAAGTGCAAGCTTCCTAGGAACTAGTATGCTTCATTTCCTAACTCCGTTTTTTTGCATTCATGCAAGCATTTCAATAAAGTGATAGTGTAGTGGGCGTTGCTGATAACAAAGGATATAAGTAGTATATATGGAGAGAGTGGCAAGAATCATAGGGAATTATCGGCAATGGGTAAGGTTTCTGCCAAGAGCAATGCAGGGGACAACACAGGCGTATTACAGGGATGCTGCTGATAAGAGTGCATGAAGAGCCGGTCAAGATCGAATCAAGACAGAAACAGAGAGGAAACGAAAATATTTGCAAATGGCTGCGTTAGTGCAAGGAGTACCATATGTAACCACTACCATTTCAATTACTTCCGAAGAGTATCCTCGCATCGAAGTGTTCTCTATTGCTCTAATATGTTGCCAGAAACAGCTTGAGCTGCTTGTTTCTTAACAATAGTTAGAAGTGCGACTAAAACAATAAGAGGACGTAAATTGTCTGAACCGTGTAGTGTATTTGCGCAACTCAGCGAATTATCTGATCACACACGTACTTGTCATAGGTATTTATATAAAAACTCATGAAGATAAGGGGTGAGAAAATAAAAAACGGTCAGGTAGGAAGGCTGACTTAAAGGCCGAATAACAATGAAAATCAATATAGCAAAAAAATAATAGTACATCGAACTTGGTTATTCAATAGTTGAATTTACCAAGGAAGGTTTAATGTGACAACAAATTGTCTATGAACACATACAGGTGGTTTCAACTTTCTAATAGCTAAGGCTTCAACAAATTTCAGGATCCCTCCACAACATGTTTTGTAAATAGGTGTAAAAGAAGTAGCCACATCAATCTTGTGACCTGTCCCAACGATATGTTTAGCGATCGAAGACTTGGACGTCTGCTACCAACATTTATAAGTTCAGGTGATTTAATTTGCTTCTGAAGCCACTTTGGAATATGTTCCGAGGCTTTTACTTGCATGGATCTATTAGTCCTCCCTATGTATGTGTCACCACACGTACATTTGAATTGGTAGATACAATGGGATATGACATTATCGTTCACATGCTGTGGGGGTTTGGGGGAATATACTTGCTTCGTGGTTTCGATTACTCGAACCCTGGCTGCATAGTAAGTCCTTCTAACAGCAGCGTTAAGTCTCTGCTTAAGGATTGCACTCTGAGAGTCACCTTTGTACGGAAGGCTGATGAAGACATCCTTCTTTGGGACTGACTGCAGTTCTAGTTTTGACGCTCTGGTAATTTTGTTCTGCCTGATAAAGAAGTTCGATTTTTGATGAATTGATGTCGCAAGTTATCCTGGTCAGTATTGAGAACCGATAATCGTCATTAGTCATGAAAACTAGGTGCTTGTAGTTAAACGAACCATCTTACATATTTTCAGCAGATTGAATTTCATTAAGTAACTCAGACAGATCATGTATACTCTATGTATTAAACCACTTTGCTTTTGTTTTCCTCTTTTCACTCATTTCCTCTGTCTTTATTATGAATGTGGTATCTTCTGACTTGTATAAAATCTTTCATTGTGTGGCACTGTATTGCGTATACAGCAATCTGGATCATAGCGATTGTGCAAGCACATCTACGTTATCATGTTTGCATGTCCTACATAAAGTGAATGGCATTCTTAGCAATGGGTACTGGGGTGGAATCGCAGCAGGAAAACATTACTCACTGAGGTGCAGGTACAACTAGCTGACGAGTTCCAAATAGGACTAAACGCACATCCTGGATTTCACTGCTAATCACCAAGATGAATATAAGGTGAATGACGTTCAAGATTCATGATGTAGTGTTCATTATAAAACTTGGATCATCATCAGAATGAAGGTGAACTGATATTTGCAAAGATTCAAGGAGTCACAGCATAATCCCTTTGAAGCTTCCATGATGCGACCAAACCTAAAGACGTGTACGCGTCACGGCTGCATGACTGAATGCCTAACATATATTGTCTGACAGTAACATTATTTGTGAATCTTTATGTGAACAGACTGAGATATCGTGCAGGAAACACAGATATTTAATCGGAATTAAAGATGTTGGCATCATTAAAACAGGTCTGGATTTTATCACAGTTAAAACTTCAAAAAAAGTAAGTATATATTCCCATCAAGACTTATATATATATATATATATATATATATATATATATATATCTTTGTAGGTCGTACACAAATCAACCTTGCGACCCATTTCAATATGTTTGTGTTCAGATGAAGTTGGACATATATTGCCTTGGTCATTGGGATCATTCGATTCATTTGTTTTCTCAACCATTTTGGAATTTTCTCTACAAATATAACTTGCATAAATCGACAAGTCTTCTCTATGGATTTGTAACTAAGTATAGGTGTAAACTGAAAAATGTAATTAGATTTCCCATAGATGGATCGTATTATTGCTCCATCTTGCCGGTGTGTTATGAGAAGCAACTATTTATATATGTATGAATGCGCTCGGAATTTTCATCTTAACACGTCTTTCATTTCAGTTATACTGGTTGACTGTGGAGTTTGGTTTATGTTATGAAAATGGTGAAACTCGTGCATTGGGAGCTGGAATAATGTCATCTTTCGGTGAACTGGAAAATGCATTCAGTGAGAATTCAGTGAAAAAACCACTGGATATTAACAACGCAGCTATACAGGTATACGACGACGTTGGATATCAGCAGATCTATTTCGTAACTGAGTCCGTTGAATCAATGAAGCAAGAGCTTAGGTTTGTTCATAAAAATATATGTTGTTTATTCACTACAGAGTATCATGAAACAGACCAGTTTTTGCCATGCATTTGATTTTTTGCTTATTTACTGAGCTACTTATGAGTAGTATATTCCTATCAAAAAAATAAGTGTTGGAAAGTGGTGATGAGGATTAACCATTTAAGTATGGTTAAACTTTATCCTATAGGGCTACGGATATTGGTGTAACATGACGCATTTAATAAATCATGGTAGGTCATGCAATGGAAGATGCAGTAATTCACTGGAGGAACCTAGTTTCTGAAATACTGCAACTAAAATCGATAAGCATCGGAAAATAAATAGTAAATCCAGGTTTCTGTGTACTCAAATCCAACGTTTAGTGCTTAATGAAACCGTTCATAAATTTCACTTGGCCCACTCAGGCATTTCCTTACCAATACAAAACTGCATATTAACCTTCCATTTTAGTCTGTTTATTAGGACTTTCACGTAGGGACACAGCATTATTAACTTGACAACGTTTAAATATAATTTATTGTCCATATTCACATCAGGTAACTCCACAAAAATTGGGCATCGTTTATATAATTCTCACCTTCTCTCTTTGTGATACGGACAGTAGACATTATCATATATCTCAGGACAGATGCAGAGTAACTTCTATTACATATATTTGATGTTGATTCGATAAACAAAGATCCGGTTGTTCTCCTCACCTACTTACCGCAAAGAGGGAGAGGATCAGAATTTTATAAACTGTCACAAAGTAGTGAAGTTGCCTGATATGAATATGGATAATAAGTTATGTACGAAACGTCATCCAGTAAATGATTCCATTTCACTGTGTGACATTTCAAATAAACACAGTAAAACAGAATTAAAACCTAGCACAGTGCTTAAGAACCACGTCTAGTTAACTAGTTCACTAGTTACTAACAGGTCCCAAGCCCGGATAAAGAGAGAAGGTTCGAAATACGGCTGGCAACCCTACCCCGAAAAACCAATTCAATCGCTAAACACACTTCAAAATACAAATTGAACAGAATGGCAGTCAGCTATTTACCTCAACCTCATCAATTCTGAAAAGGCCTCCAACAGCGTCCACCAAGAAGTAATCTAGTAGGCAGATGCTTCAACAATACGCCTTCAGTCCCACAAACATTTATCAACCTCATTCAACAGCAGCTATATTATATATGAGGAAGCTACATGCCAAGTGATTCACAATGGAAAGCTCAGTGACGACTTTGAAGTGAAGACAGGAGTAAGACACAGTTGCCACCTACTGTCACCCATAATCTTCCTGATTGTGATCGACTGGACTGGACTGCACTGGAGTGGACTGGACTGGATCATGCAACAAAGTGTGAGGAGCGAGAAGATGAGCAAATCCTGACTGGAACGATGAAGAGACCCCAGAAGAAGATTTGGATTTCACCACCGTTGATGATGATGATGATGATGATGATGATGATGATGATGATGATGATGATGATGATGATGATGATGATGATGATGATGATGATTTATGTCTAATGTCTTGTTGCACAAACTGGAAGATCTGCAGGGGAAAACCAACAAGTTGACAGAGGAGGCGAGGCGAGGCGAGGCAGGGCAGCGAAGACGGGACTTCCTTCAGGTGAATGTGGAGAAGACAGAGGTGATGAAGATACCCAAACAAAAATAGCAACAGCGACAACAGCAGCAACAACGACGACGACGACAACAACAACAACAACACCAGCAAGCACCAATCACCATCAATGTGAGAAATCTAAATGAAGTTGTCTGTTTCACCTACCCACCTACCTATCTAGGCAGTGCAGCATCGTCTCAACCACAGGTGGCACAGGCACAGATGAGAACGTCAAAGCCAGTCGGGATTGGAAAGACATCAAGACAGGCCTTCCTGCATTAATCTGAGATTAGTGTGGAGATGTACTGTACTGTACTGTACTGTACTGTACTGTACTGTACTGTACTGTACTGTACTGTACTGCACTACACTCAGTATAAAGTGTGAACGAGATCCAGATTTTCAACACTAATGCCAGTCAAGTAACTCAGTGCTTCTATGTGATGGTTGAGAGACTTGGCACCTCACGAAAAGCATTTCCAAAAAACTGCAGACATTCATCAACAGCTGTCGCCTACGCTCACTTGATACTGCCACTGAAGATCAGATGATTAGAATAATAAGAATAAGCAAGAAGGAAGTCTGGGAACGAACCAATCAAGAATCTATCACCCAACAAATGTGCAGTGGAAGAAAGTGGAGATGGATTGGATTGGGCATACTCTGAGAAGACCGATTACGGACATCACGCTTCAGGTCAGGCCAGGCCAGGCCAGGCCGTCGAGTGGAATCCAGATGTGAAGCAACGAGTTGGGTGTCTGTGGCGGGGGTGACATGGAGGAGATGGTGTGAGGAAGGAATGGAAGCTTGTGGGCATTGGTGGAGCCAGGTTGAAAAGACTGGAGAGAAGAGAGTGCAATGGAGGCGTGCTACTGAAGCCGTATGTTCCATCAGGATCCCAGGGGACAAGTAATATAATGATAAATGCAGTCTTTAAGTTTTGTTCCTATGGTAATGCATAATAGTGTGTCAGATTATTCATCATGTCACTTCGCAGCATTACTTTGCTTTCATCTCATTGCTAATATCCTTGACTCCATTTTATATATGCATCTTTATGGTCAGTATCAGCGTGGATGTGAAGTAGACCAAGGGCATTCTATCTTTCACCCGTCACCTTCTACAGTGCAAAATGACGTTCAGCTATTACCATGATTTCTTGGTATATTACAACAAAGCATATGAGTAAACAGTATTGTTTACCATTAGATCTCCTCCTACTTCACTGTAACATGCATAGCTTTAAGATATATATATATATATATATATATATATATATATATGTATATATATTAAATTTTGAGGGGGTTGTGGAGATTTGGAAATATTTCAAGTTGTTATTCATCGAAGACTGGTGGGGTCGTGGGTGCGCACTGCTGAGGAGTCCCATACTAGGACGAAACAGCTGTCCAGTGCTCCCAGGTTTCATTTGTTCCTCCAACTGATGTCAGTCTTCGATGAATAACAACATGAAATATATATATATATATATATATATATATATATATATATATATATATATATATGGAATTTATGAGTCGACGATAACAAGGATGTGGATTATGCACTTCACTGTCACAAAAACCATGGTATTATAATGGGTAATGAAAATGTTAAGAATGGTATGACTATGTAGACAGGTATTCAGAGAGATGAAAAGGGTCAGAGCATGGAAAAGATAAACAGGGCTGCGCAACACTAAATGATGAAGACAGTGTCATAAATAAAGTTTTATGTGAGAATAGTAAGAAGTGTAAAAGCGGTAACGAAAATGAAGATAAAATAGTGAAGAAGAGTATTTAAAAACCTATAAACAAGATTATTCGTTAAGTCTTCGGGCAGGAAAAACAGAGCTTTGGATGGTTCACTAAAATGCCTATTACCTCATCTATAGGTAAAAGACAAGTTCATACTCGTTCGGAAAGATTTAGTGGGATTCGGTAAGTTGCTTTGAACGATTTTTTTTTAACTCCATGACCACTATCAACTAGATGTGACAACATGGGGCTTCCTATAGACTTCACCTGTCCTTTTCCCAACCATGAAGGTAGGTGTTCCATAATACAGAGAAATAAGACTATCTGGTAAACAATAATTTTTATTGTCACCTAACTGTTTATCTAAGTTTAGTCTCAACCGACAGCTGCTTTCATGATGTGGTATTAAGGTGACAGTTGAAGCAAATACACTGTCTTTAATGGTTATTGATTGGGAAGTTATCAGACCAGAAGGGTGGTTTTCACAGTCACATACGTAAAAGCAGCTAAAATCATACAGTAAATATTTATAATCCGATGATGCTTTAGAGGGCTAACTTGTGATGCTTTCTCCGTAGAGTTGTGCCTCCATTCAGGTATTTTTCTTCGACTATCACCATCCCAGGTTTGTTGCTTTGCTTGGAAAAATTAATCCTAATGACTGGTAGGGTTATTGAACTACAAATGTGAACATAAAAGTTTTACAAATCTTATCTGTGGTCAGACTTCAGTAGACATCAATCAGGCTGAACGGTCAGGTGGCTCAATAAGATATTAGCCTCTTCAGCCCAGTAACTAGGGACGTATCAACCACCTTAACACTTCGTGACATAAAGACCTATCAGATCATTATCAACTGCCTTCACGTGCCAAGCTCTCGAGTGGAATCCAAAGGGGAAACGACGAAATGGGTGTACGACGGTAACATGGAAGAGATCATGTGAGAAAGAAATGAAAGCTTCTGGGCATTGGTGGAACCAGGTTTTATATATATATATATATATATATATATATATATATATATATATATATATATATATATATATATATATATATATATATATATATATATCGCATCTACCAGTGCAAATGCAAGTGAGATGGCACATATATAGGAAGGACTCATAGATCCATCCAAGTATGGGCTTCGGCATATAATCTAAAGTGGCTTCAGATGCAAATAAAACCACTCGGACGCATAAACGTTGGTATCAGACGTTCAAGTTCTTCTATTGAGAAACATATTCAAACAGATTATAGGATAGACGTGGCTACTTTATTCAGACCAATTAACAAAACGTGTTGGGACGAGTCCTTAAATTTGTCGAGGCCTCAGCTATTGGGAAGTTCAAACCAACTTTGTGTGTTCAAAAACAACTTGTTATATCACATTAAATCTCCCTTGGAGAATTCAGCTATGAAAAACAATTTCGATGTTTTATTATTTCGCACTATTGATTTTCCTTGCTATTCGGCCTTGAATGCTATTTTGTTATTTGCCGTCTTCGTCGACTTATTGTTATTATTATTTTTCCCTCGGGTTCCTCATAGAACATACGGCTTCAGTAGCACGCCTCCATTGCACTCTCTTCTCTCCAGTCTTTTCAACCTGGCTCCACCAATGCCCACAAGCTTCCATTCCTTCCTCACACCATCTCCTCCATGTCACCCTCACCACAGACGCCCAACTCGTTGCTTCACATCTGGATTCCACTCGACGGCCTGGCCTGACCTGACCTGGCCTGGCCTGCCCTGAAGCGTGATGTCCGTAATCGTCTTCTCAGAGTATGCCCAATCCAATCCATCTCCACTTCCCTCTGCATATTTGTTCAGCGATAGGTTGTTGGTTGGTTCGTCACCAGCCAGCCAGACTTCCTACCTGCTTATTCTTTCTGGTCATCTGACCTTCAGTAACGAGCCAGCGTAGGCAGTTGTTGACGAATATCTGTAGTTTGTTAGAAATCCCTTTCGTAACGCGCCAAGTCTCTGAGCCATCCAGAAGCACTGAGTTACTTGACTGACATTGGTGTTGAAAATTCGGATCTTGTTCGACATGATGAGTTGAGTGTAGAAGATCTCCACACTGGTTTCAGGCTAATGAACACCTGTCTTGCTTTTCCGATTCTGACTTCGACATCCTCGTCTGTGCCTGTGCCACCTGTAGTTGAAACAGTGCTTCCTAGATAGGTGAAGGAGGTTACTTCCTTTAAGTTTCTCCTGTTGATGGTGATTGGAGTTTGTTGTTTTTGTTGGAGTTGTTGGTGCGGTATCTTCATCACCTCTGTCTTCTCCACATTCACCTGAAGCCCCGCCATCGCTGCCCTGCCTCACCTCTTCTGTCAACTTGTTAGTTTCGCCTGTAGATCTTCGAGTTTGTGCAATAAGACATTAGACATAAATCATCATCATCAACGGTGACGAAATCCAAATCTTCTTCTGGGTCTTTTCCCCGGTCAAGCCATTGTATCCCCCTCTTCTCGCTCCTCACACTTTGTTGCATGATCCAGTCGACTACAATCAGCAGTGTTATGGGTAATAGTAGGTGGCAGCCTTATCTAACTCTTGTCTTCACTTCTTAGGCGTCACTGAGCTTCCCATTGTGAATTACTTGGCATGTGACGTCTTCATGTAGTTAGTTGTTGAATGAGGTTGATAAAGGTTTGTGGTATTCCGTATTCTGTGCGTGAATCAAGGAAATTCGGGGAACTATGCAAAAGAAAGTAGTAACTTGTTTGGATCGCATAGCTTGGTTCCGTTCAATTGTTTTCTGCGTTCAGACCAAAATATTACTGGATTTCGGTCGTAATACACTGGTTACATTCATATTTTTTCAGAATGAGAACAGTATCTTTTGTGTAGAAGACAGTTGTCTGTTGATTTATCTAATTACAGAAACCGGCGTAAATCAGGCTTATTCTTTCTATACTCATTTGCTTTGCATGGATTAACTTAAACTGGTTAAACTAATTTAATTAGTTTCCGAACGACCAAACAATATCCATACAGGAGATCACCTACTCGTTGTATGGTCCTAGAATGAATGTCTGCTAAGGAGACACTGAACACTTGTATATCCTGAACTGTTTGAGGCTCAAAACACCAATCTGTGGATTTTGTCTTCAAATGTGAAAAAGACTGGTGAACTGCTTCAATTTTATGACTTTATATCAATTGATCTAGCTAACAGCACCTGTCAGATGATTTCTATCTTGTTCGAAGTTTTTGTCTCATCGATTTTATCTACACTTCTGCACAGTCTCGTCAATAATCTTGCTGTTAAGGTTTCTTTGCATATCGCCAGTTCTTAATCATTGTCCCTCCTGTTTCTCTTCTGAAATGTTGATAAAAGACTACTTTATCTCCCTTAGGGCTTTAAAAGCCACCAACATAGTCGTTTGCTCACGAAATATACATGGATGTAGATGTTCATTTTGACATGTACAGACAGCTGACAGAGACTTATCAGTGTCTGACATTGAGCAGGCGTTAAGTACACAGCTTTCTCTTAGTCTGTCTCCAGAAAGGATCGGAGACAAATTCATATTTAATATGACCTGAAGTGCAGATATGCAGTGATGAACACCGGTACAATCACTATCAGATAATAAAATTTGGCTTGTTTCCTCAGAAATGAAAGAAGCGATAAATTTTTCTGAAAGGTCTAACATATACAAAAATATTTGGCTTTTTATACACACCGATAATCCTGATACTTCTCATAAGTCACAAGATGTTGTAATCAGGAGTTTTTCAAATCTACCCAAACAGGCCAATATATGTACAACAAAAGATTTTCATGAAGCTTTGAAGCAATCAAACTGATTCTAAATGCCTTCTGAAATTTTTTGGATTTTGGTGAATCTGAAGAGTAGATATGGTGTATCCTAGCAATAAAGGTTTTTGCTATTAAGAATGAGTAAAAAGATTGAAGATTTAGATTTCATTTAGAAGCTCAGATTCGATCCAACGGATATCAGAATGTCGAAGATTCTGCATCATGCTGTTAAAAACTGATAGGTCATGAAAAGGATGAAATCCAGTCTCATCAAAGTGACTATTTCAATACAATTGAGCAAATTACTGGCCATACTAAAAGGTGCTATTCAATGACAGAAACATATTTGGGTGTATAAGATCTATTCATCCGGTCGACGCAAACTTAGCAGAAACACAACTGTTCGTATTGTTTCCTTGGCATAAACATCGAATTCCAGGTAAGGTAGAGCAAAACTCTCTACTTTCATATTGACTGAAAGTCACCTGCAGAGAGTAATAATCGCCTTAATAAGGCACTTAACAGCAATTAAGGATGGAATATTTTCCAAGATCTTTAGTGCGCTGTTTCCTTCTCACTTTAGGACATCTTATGAACAGCTGATGGTGACAGTACTGGGTAGAACCATGTTCAATGCGAACATACTACAAATGAAATTTTCGGCTTTGTTGGAAAAGGGGAAAAGTAAACTACCGCTACCAACCAGCAGGCTTATACGGAGGAATCTCCGGGACGTATATGTAGTTTACTTACTATACGCTAAGAGATAAATGAAGAAGCCTGCAGAGACTATCTTGTGTGATCCAGTCTTTAACCATTATAGCATTGTAAATGGCTTCGAATAATGTTCCCTTCATAAGTTAATAGATGGGGTACGTTCATCTGAGAGATTAACGCGATTTTTTTCCCGAATAAGTAATGAAAAATTGTAAATTTATTCTGTTCTAATACATTTCTACGCATTTTAGAAATTATTTGAACAGCACAACAAAGTCAATCGTGGCAACTTATGATCCAGTTACTGAAACCGTCCATATGAAACCAAGGTATATTGTTCGACAGGAGATTACACATCGTATTAAAGAAGAAATCGATCAGTTGCACTCATTGCTTAAGCCCGTTAAATCAACAGGATAGTGGACAAAAATATCACCATTGATGCTGTCATCCATTCAATGTTCAATCTCATAATTTTCTTTTCTACTTAAACTCTGAGTTAAACAACCGAACTTACAAACGAATAAGTGGAGTGTATTAATACCTCTTACCACCGTAGTGACCAAAACATTCTTTTGGAATTGTCGTGGGTTTGTTTGCTCATAGGCAAAACAAGAAAAAAAATGCAATGCATATTTAGTTTTGACTGTCTAGCCGTCATTACTATTATTACACATTCATTTCAATATGTTTATTCTACCATAAAACTAGCTAATTTATAATTTGTTACCATGGCAACATATGGGATCGCGTGTTATGCAGTTCAGTGATGTTTATTGTTTGAACTGTTACATTTCTAAAATTATTTATTCCTGTATATCTTATCTCTTATCTTATCTTTATGCACTGAAATACAGTATTCGATGTAAACAAACTCTTCTCTTGAAATCTCTTCAAAAACACTTTGAATATTTAACGGTAGACATTTGTGAATTGTTGTGTTTTGTGGTTAACTTATTACTTACAGATTATAAGGAAGAAGAACTAATATCCTTTCCACTAATTCTTCTCTTGTTTTATCGTTACAAAACTAAATCAGTTATCGTAATACGAGTCAAGTGAGTATGGAATGTATCTTTGGGTATAAAATAAATTACAAACCCGTTAATGTGAGTAGACTAACCAGAGATTCTAATGTTGGAATTTGTTTTTAAAGTAGCCGTATTGTGTTGAAGGCCGTGTGGATTGAGTAACTACAGAACAGCTGATGCATAAAAAAGATGAAACGATATTGTTACAAGAGTACTATTTGAAAGTTAGTTCATTTCGTACGTATATTCCTCCTTTATGAGTAAGCACAGAGAAAGAACAATGATTGGAACTGACGTGAATGAGAAAATAATAGGAAATACGTTAAAGCTACAAACGCAGTGCGACACTAGGACTGGATATGAATAGCGACTGTTCATCCTAAGAATCTTATACTTCACTGAGCTATCAAATTCAGAACACAAAGACCGGCTTGCGAAGAAGACATTTTAATAGGCCAAAAACATCATTCATATTATTTTCCTCAGAATATAAAGCCACTAGGTCAGAAGTTGGGAACTTATTTTGATTGGTCAGTTGTGGGAGAAAATTGTCCAATAAGGTTTCCCCCGCCCCCAGAGTAATATGAAAAAGGTTGAAATCCAAAACTTCTACCTTAGAGGCTGATGACTTCGATTTAGGCCACTTTCTCTCGGGAACCGTTTAAAGTAGTACTGTTTTTTTCGCCGGTTTATATTTGACTTCTTACAACCTTTAACTTGAACATACTTTCACCATTAAATGAAGAAAAGTGATCCCATATTTGTCAAGAGAGCTTTTGGAAATGAAATTGACTGATATTTATACATGAAGTGATCTGAAAACTTGTGGGTCTCATATAGAGTCTACCGAAGATGCATAGGTAGTGGGTTTTCCTAAGATCTATACTTCGCATGACTAACCCATTTCACCACAAGGTTGCTCGTTGGCATGCTGAAAAGTTAAAACTTGCAAGTAACTCCTAGCTGCATATGCTCTGAAGTATTTATCCCAGGTTGTTGGAAATCCAACTCACATTGACTTCTCTAATGAGAATTCACAGCTATATTTGGTGCATTTTCTTTAAACAAATAGATTCTTATTCATGAGACTGTTGACTTTATTTATCACCATCCTGACTTCCTCTCTCTGCCAATTTCAGAATTCATGCCCTGGCTTTTGGTGCATAGTAAAGTCCATTTAACTTAGTGTTGGCAGATCTCTTTATGAACAAACTGAAGAAGATATGTCTTCAGCAGGCAAACGAAGAAATGACGTCTTATTCCAGATGTGTTTATGACACTTTTGTCGTTTACAACAATCTATGTCATGTGTCCTGCTTTCTAGAACTCTTCAATCATGCTCATGAAAACATCGAGTTCACCATGGAACGTGAAGACGGTGATATCTTCAGCTTGTTTCATATTCCCTTGTAAATTAAGAAGGCTTGCACACTTCAAAGGTACATTCATTGAAAGACCATATGGAGTGGACTACGCCTAAATTTCAACAGCTCTCGTTCAATCAGTTTTGAACCAGAATTGGGGAAAAACGACATTTTTATTTAACTAACCGGCTCTGTTAATACGGAAAATTGGGAGAAGAGCTGTTAGACATTGAAAATATTCTGCGATAAAATGGTTTGACCAAAACTTTTATTGATAAGTACGAAAGAGGTATGAAGACATAGGGTTAGAGAAAATTACTGTGAGCAAGATGTCGATCTTTACTGGTCTCATTTACAAAAGTTGACCATATCGAGATAAGAGTCAATAGACGGATAAAAACCGCACAAAACAGAATTTATCCTGCAGTTTAGTTGATAGCTGTCTACAGAAAAGCATGTTCTTTCTCACAATCAAAGGTCAAAAAGTTTCCTATCCACGTTACCTCTAATTGTGTGTACAAGTTTACGTGCATCTGTAGAAACAGCTACACTGAGAGAACAGAAAGAAAGGAATACTTAAAGTATTTTTAACAAAGATCTGAGTTTTAGGAGTATATGTACTTACAGTAGTGCAGTTACTCGACATCTCATCAATACAGGAAGTAGATACCTTGATACCCTCCAGAGTAATCGACAAAGTAGGTGGTTCGATTCTCCTGAGTTTCGCTTGGATGGTAGCTGTCAAATGACTGAAACTGGAATTGTGTTCAACATGAAGCAGTTATCAATCCTTTGGTTCTGTCATAACCTAGTTTTTCACTGTTCCTCTGATCTGACGCATAATTTTTCAGATGAAGCTTCTGTGTGTACAAAATGTTTTTGATAATTCCTACCAACTGAGTTCAATCAATTGTATTAATGATTTCATGTTGGTATTCAGTTGGAGAAACAGCGAAGACCTGACTCACCAGCTATTTTTTTCTTAGTACGGAACTCCTCAGCAGTGTGAACATATGACCCGCTAGGGGTCGAACCCAGAACCTTTGGGTCCCGAGCTTAGCATGTTACCATTGAGCCAATGGGCCAGGACTTATTGGTCCATATTTCCTACTTCTATCAGTTCACGATATTGAGTGACCTCCATTCAACGTCATCGTTGAGCAACTGTCCTCATGTTCGACTTGATTGGCACTGCCAGTCAATATTCTCACTAGAATTTCGAGAATCACCCCTCGAAACGAGTCATCAATGAGCTCTAGATTAATTCAGTTCGTAGGGATTTGTCCACTGATTTCAGGTTAGTATTCATCATGGACTGTCTACTGCTGTCCAGTACTTCACGGTTTCCAATGTTTCTCCAACTGATGTCAGTCCCTAATGAATACCAACCTGAAATCAATAAACAAGTCCCTATAAACCTTGGAACTGAATTATGTTATTGCATAGTTTGTCTGTTACTTATCATCAACTAACCGACTTCATAATCTTCCTACGTAATCTTTTGTTCTATGTGCGAAAACCCTTTTTTACTACTCACACTATTTTCAGACACATAAATAACTGAAACTTCTTCGCATATCTTGTTAGCTCCATCCAGATTTTTCTATTCTTTATTGTACTATGCCAACTCTTATTAACTAACTTTTCCTACTTATAGAATTAATGTGATGTTTATATGCTTTAGTTTTTCAGAAGCTGACGAGAAATAGGTGGAATAAAAGGGTACTATGTTATTTTGCTCAAATGGTTGTTCTGCCTTTATTAGTTTGTTTTTTCATTACAATATTCAGTGAAAATCATTTACTGGTTAGTACTTCCTGCAAAAGTTTTTGTTTATATAACAGTAACTCTACACCTCTGGCATGTTGTGTAGAAGAAAATATCCTTCTATTGTACTGTATATGTAGTAAACAAGTTATGTTTCACCTCAATTCCTAAGTACTACTCCTACTCACAATAATTGTATAAATAATAATCATAGTAAAGTTATTAATGTTAGTTTAAAACATGTAGAGATTTTAAAGTTGTATCAAAGTTTTTTTGAATTTATGAATAAACAGGAAACATTGAGGCTAAACTATGTAGTATTTTCAATGCATTTTAAAAGCCGGAATACTCGGTCACTAATTTCTTGTATGTCTGAATAATCTTTTATGCCCAAGTGATTAGAACAGTTACACAAAAGTTAATTACTGAAAATGACATAGATAGGAATTTTCATAAATCCTTACTTCCGTGGCTCTTCCTTTTTAAGTAATATCGTGGACTATTTCAATCAACTTACATCATTCTCAGAAATTACAAATTTAAGACTTTCATTTGCTGTTTAATTTTCTGTGGAAGAAAGTCTGAGATATATTCATTCAGAGTCCTTTGTTCAACAACACTTCAGTGAAATGAAACCATGTGTATCAAGCCTACATTTTATGAGATTATATTTTAATTACATTCGAAATAGACACTAAGTAAATGAATTGTAAATCACTATTGAACAAACTGACGATTCATCCTTTGCTACAACCAGTAATCAGTAAACTTAATGTTTTCAGTGACGATTTCATGTTCAGAGTTCCTACTAGTTAGTCTACTAGGTAGTTAATTTGTTCCGACTAAAGTGATTCAGGCATCAGTGAAGCGGTTCCATCCATCGCTTACTCATTCTTTCAATACTGGTTCCAGCGGAATTATATTTGAAGTATGGTAGGAGTGATTATGGCTGTAAGACATGAACGTTGAAAGTAAGAGATACGAAAAGTTCAAGATTTTTGGTGGTCACTTTCTTCGCACTGCTGCTCACAGTTAGTGCTACCAGCATGTGGCCAATGTTGGGTTCAAATATAAGTTACCAGGCATGTGGGCTAGGTCAGGTAGTCAGGCTGTGGACCTTCATCGACTAAGGTTGTTTGGACATGTGCAACACATACTGAACTACCAATTAACTCGATGAGTGACATAAACACAAGCGGAATTAGGATAACAAGAAATTAACGGTCAGTCAGTCTAAGACATGACACCAGTCTTTGAGGATTTTGACTTTTGATCTGAGCCTTATTAGAATATTTAGGTCATCTGGCTAGGGTTCTAGAGAGGATAGAAAGCAATGGTTGTAGATTATCGATGATACGGCCTAAAATTGGCCATATGGTTGCAGATGTATGCACTGTTTATCGTCTTCAAAGCGTTAAATATTTTCACTAATCTTCCTCTCTTTATGCTCTTTCATCTCATCTACCTTTGCATAACTTAATGTCATTTGTTTCTATCCAAATTTTCTTTGTATGCCATGAAATGTATGAGCCGAAACTGATGCACTTCTGTGCAAGGTTTCACCTTCATCCCCTGACATAGTCATTCATATTTGGTTTACAAAATTTGAGAAAAATTCAATATTTTAACTAAAATACATATTCTTGCGTAGTTAAGCGGTCAAAAAGATTAACAAGACAAGCTGAAATTAAACCTTGAATCTCTTTTTACTTCAAAATCCTCAATACATCTATTACATCCAGTGATTATCCCTCTCATTCATTTATTTCTTTGTTTGAAAACTATTTTGTTCTTTTTAATTTGTCTTTCATTGCGTTTTTCTCAGGATGGAAATTTGAAATGATGGTATCCTGTGTGAGGTTGCACTTTGTCATGTAAATCTGACTGTCTTTCTACTCATGTATCAAGCATAGCAGAGTGGTTAGAATGGAAGATAGTGAAAAATGAAATAAATTATATTGGCAAATAAAATTACCAACTAAGCAAGTGGTTACATAAAGCCAGTCACAAAATGAAGAGAAATCAAGGTAACGTGGTGGTCAGGATATGACTGCAAAAGAGTCAATTTAGCTTATTCATATAAAAGGGTGAACGAAAGTAGAAGTTAGCTCTTGTAATATCTCCCAGTTTTTCATGTTCATCCCCACTATAATAAGACGTACTTCAGTGTTATTGACATTGTTACTATTACTATGGTCCTCTTTGTTTACTCAGTGTTACAATCTTTTACGTCTTCATCAGTATCATGTAGTGATATACCTTTTGCGCTTTTGTTTGAATGTATCTGAAATAAATGTTATCGATATAAGTGTTTTGTACAATCACTTTGGGTTTTCATCATGTAGCATAAATCAGTACCCTTATTAGCGTCATTAGAATGGTCCAATCCTTCATTAGTCGCCTTATCATTATCATTATCATTATTAGTAATGCTTTCATTGCATGTTTCATCATCAGTGTAAATGGATAAAATTCCCTTTGTAAGGCATGTCTTTCTTAACTTGGTTGACAACTCTGGAGTTATGTTATTAATGACAACAATATCTCTCAGTGATGATGACGACGATGGAGGTTGTAGTAACGATGAATGTTTTATCAGTGATGCATTGAATTCACCAGATTCTGTAACATTGTCTACTGTTTCATTGTTTCCTTCAGCTTTTTCAGTCATTTCAAAGTTGTTCTCTTGGGATAGTTCCTAATTAGTTATCATCTCTTTATGGATAGCTTCATTCATAATTGCACGATGTTTTTTCTGGTTTTTTAAATGTTTGAGAGAGAAAATGAAACAATCTGGTCAGTTCTTTTGTTGAGCTTCAAAGACGCCCAAAAATAAACTATCGGTAACTAATTCTCCAAAACTGAGCGCTTCAGATAGGTACAATTATCAGTAGTTGTCGTTTCAACTCAGAGTTAATATTCGAGTAATTTTATTGTGCATAAGTGGAAGTTGATAAAAACTAATGTATTTTCAAATAAATCTATTGTCTGTTGACCATTATATATTATACAAGCGCATGAGAAGCTTACGAAATTCAGAACAAAACATCATCCTACTTTTTATAGCCAATATCGTGACAGATTGTATTACGTATCGTTATGAAGCGAAGCATTGCTTCTTAAATTCCCAAAAGAAGATCGAGATTCTCAAAAACCTTCACAGCTAGTCATTGCATACTGAATAATGGTGAAAAGCCATATGATCATATGTGTGAACCATAGGTTGGTCAGCAGAACTAAATCATTCGGAAAAATCTTCCTGTAAAAGTGTTGAACATATTGAGACTGGTAAAAACATATATATACATTTGTGCAAACATTTTGATTTGATGACAAACCTCTCATGAGTATTTGATTAGTCTATTTGATATTACATTCAGTGTTATATGCGAGATGACGTTTCATGTAGAATTAATCACTTAAGGTAATAGCCCAATTTTCTGGTCTATTTTTTTGAGTCTAAGGTTTTTCGCTCTTTGATTTATTTGGTATTGAAATTTTCCCCACATTCAGAGTCAGTGTGGTGTCGTTTTGATTGTACGTGTTAGGTGTTGAATTGCTGAACAATTAGATTCACAAAGTATAGGAACCTAGCTAGACTGATAGACCCTAAAAAAATGGGTAATCTGGAGGAGAATTCAGACATAGCTATGCAAGGCGTTGCATGCACCCCCACTTCCGAAGCTCTTGCCAACTATATGGAGAAACCTGAGCTTAGTACGCAAAAGAAAACTGTACAACCTCATCCTCTTTCACAGTCTTAATTTTCAACCTTTGAAATCACCTCTCCCTTTTTACACTGCTCATCTGTTACTTAATTTACAATTCATTCTTGTTCCTATGCTCTTCCTGATCACTATTCTATTTCTAAATATTGTCATGTTAATAAATAAATAAATAAATATTTTATTTTCAAATTAAGAGTTTAACATGAGAGAAGCCAGTTTACAGGCATCAAATTGATAATGGTAAAGAAATCTCCAGTAGTTGAGCTGTCCTGAATGATACAGAAGGTATCGCATCAGAATTTATTATGATATCAAAAGTGATTGCAGGTTATGAAAAGAACGGAAAAATATCACTTCATAGTACTTACAGATTGTTTATGAGTTTCGGTTGTCTCCACTCACCATTCTTTTTTCACACTAAAGTGATATTAAAATTGTACAATATTAGACGTTTGCGTTACATGTAACCTAGATGGTTAGCCTGGAGGTATTGTTCCGTGTTTCGTCAGATAAACATATATTTTGACGTCAGTCAACATGTTTATAGTATCGTTAACCAACGAAAACTCGCTTCATCGATTTCAGGGGATCTTTTTATACAAATTTATTAACCTTTCCGCAACTCCAGTCATATCCTGATTAGTCTTTACTATTCATCACAGTTTTTTATATTTTAATAACAACTCAAAGCCCAGCGAAATAAAAATGTACAGATTTGTGATTGCACAACTGATTTACATATACGAGGAAGTGAAAGATCCTTAATAAAGAAGTCAGAAGGTTAGTGTTCAAGAGTCCTGAGGTGTACCAGGTACTCACAAGATATCAGATTTAACGTTCATAAGTTGAAGTATATTTCTGTTGTGTAATTCCAGCATTGTAAGTCAGAATGGTCTGTGAGCAGAATAGCTAAGGACCGCTCAAAGGCTTGTTTTCTTCAGTAACCTTTTACGCAGAAAATGTGTTTCGATCTAATTTGGTAACATTTATCTACTTTTCTGCTGTATCCGTGTGCATGTCTTGCTGTGCAAGAAAGTTACTCTGATTACCAGTCAGTCATGTATAAAGTCAGTAAGTCTGAAAAAAAACAAAATCCTAATTCGTTGAATTTAGACTGATTGTAGGCTTAAGTTTATTTGTCATATTCATCGAATCTTTCCTAAGACATAATTCGTAGTAGCTAGCAAGCATCCCTTCTTCGATTTTCCACCAGCTAATTAGTCGTTGTTTTCTGTTTGATTTCTGGTGGGAAATTTTTATGCTAAAACTATGAATCTGGATCACCAACGATCACTTTAGCCGAACATCCTCCATACAGTTTTCTCACTGCAGGAAATATTTTTCTGACTACATGGTTAAGCATGCTTTGCTTAGTTTACAGGTAAGTGTGCCACATACTTTATAATCTACCATTTACCTGCAGTTATGGTATATGAAGTCAAATTGTATTCAGTCTTCTGATTATGACTGGTTAGTTGAAAACATTAATCAGAGTAAGATATTACAAAGTATATACTAAATAGCAGCCTTTCCGTACAATTTTCAACTGATTATCATTGTACAGGCTGAAAAAGATGAATATTGATGGGATTGTAGTGAAGTTGGCCAAACAAAATAATTTAGGAACCAGTGAACACTTAATCATCGTTTGCATTCCTTTCTAAGTTTTTGAACTAAATCACCATATACTGCTGCTAGGTTCCAGAAGATCAGTTTTAAAAGATTTACACTCCTGTTTGGTCTTAGTGAACTTTGTGGTTAACCACATCCTCAGACATGCCAGTCAGTGAACTTGATCAGGGTTTTTTTTAACTATATCGTCTGATGTGGAAGTCTGCTAGGTTGAAGCTTGCATCTGTTAAATGCATGATAGGAACAAAATTGAATTCAGTTACCTGACAGCACTTGAAAAACTTGAACACATAGTTTTAACAGGTAATTTAGTAAAGGTCAATGACTTATGACTTACGATGTTTGGAATGCAAAGTAAGTGGTTTTATAGAAACGGTTTCACCTTATGTGGGTTTAAGTTAATGAACAAAACTGAATTAGTTGTCTCCAGTTCAACAACATTAGATATCAGTACTAACCTTCATAGTTTTAGCAGATTGAATATGCGTCGTCAATTACCCATAGCATTCAGTATATTGCCATGTTACTCAGCGTTACTCTTCCACTGTTTCCCACTGATAAGTTAGGTCACAGATGACGGGTTACCGATATCCGATATCAATTTGTAACAACGAATTTAGTGGTCATTGTTGCTGTGATACTAGTTAGCTAGGTATAAGTACAGTGAATCTATGTTTGGTATTTTCATCCGTGAAGATCACATTCACAGCTTCAAAGTGACTGTATTCAAATCGCACTAGTGTACACAGACAACTGCTTTCAACAAATATATTTCATCTGATGACCTGAACTTATTGATTTGTGTGTTGCATTTCACCGCACACTACTTAAAAGACGCATGGCCAAAATCATCGTCTGTGATAATCACTAACATGTTAAACACAGGAATGAATATAATGAATAAGTCATCCACAGAAGTAGAATAAATGAAAGAAATGAGGCTTTGCCTCCTAGGATTAGGTTGTAATAACTGCTCAATAGCCTTCTTATTATCTACCTTCATTAGTGGTTAGCTGTCAGCTGCAATGTTCACTGAAAATTGAAAATTTCTACGTGATCATTTGGCTATCAGTTTGTTTTCTTGAAATTCATTCATTTGCTTCCTGAGACAGTTACCATTTCTTTCAATGTGGGTACATTATTGTCAGGTCGTCAGCCTAAGTATTTAGTCCTCAACTAACCAGATATCGTTTGAATTAATTTCTTGACATACAAACAATACAGTGACACTAAGAATTTTTATTTTCAAAATGTATTTGATAACTGAATATATATATATATATATATATATATATATATATATATATATATATATATATATATATATATATAAGTCCCTTGGGTTCCTAATGGAACATAGGGCTTCAGTAGCATGTCTCCATTCAACTCTGTTCTCTGAAATCTTTTGAAACTGGCTCCACGACAACCCAGAAGCTCTCATTTCCTCCTCGCACGACCTCCTCCATGTCATCCTCGCTTCAGACGGTCGACTCGTTGCTTCACATCTGGATTCCACTCGACAGCCTGGCCTGGCCTGTGATGTCCCCAGTCGGCCTTCTCAGAATATGCCCAGTCCAATCCATCTCCACTTCCCTCTGCATATTTGATCAGCGATAGCTTCTTGGTTGGTTCGTCACCAGCCAGCCAGACTTCCTACTTGCTTATTCTTTCTGGTCATCTGACCTTCAGTAACGAACCAGAGTAGGCAGTTGTTGAGGAGTGTCTGTAGTTTGTTGGAAATCCCTTTCGTAACGCACCAAGTCTCCCAACCATACAGAAGCACTGAGTTACTTGACTGACATTGGTGTTGAAAATCCGGATCTTGTTCCACATGATGAGTTGAGTGTAGAAGATCTCCACAATGGTCTCAGGCTAATGAACGCCTATCTTGCTGTCTTTCCGATCCTGGCTGGCTTTGACATCCTCATTTGTGCCTGTGCCGCCTGTAGTTGAAACAGTGTTTCCTAGATAGGTGAAAGAGACTACTTCCTTTAAGTTTCTCCCGTTGATGGTGATTGGAGTTTGTTGTTGTTGTTGGAGTTGTTGGTGCGGTATCTTCATCACCTCTGTCTTCTCTATATTCACTTGAAGTCCCATCTTCGCTGCCCTGCCTCACCTCTTATGTCAACTTGTTAGTTTTCGCCTGTAGATCTTCAAGTTTATGTGACATCAGGCACAAGTCATCGGCGAAATCCAAGTCTTCTAGGTTCTTTTCCGCAGTCCAGCCAACCTATCCCCCTCTTCTCACAGCTACCCACTGTTTCCTGCATGATCCAGTCCAAAACCATCAGGAATATCATGGGGGATAGTA